CTGAGAAGAGAAACAAATAATCATGTCGATCATTTGATTGAAATAGAATAAGACGGACAGATTACAAGATTAAGGAATATCTCGCTAATAAAACCAATGACAACATCAATATCAATGGCTACCTCTATTATCAATTCTACAGATGATATGGAAAAGTAAGAAGTTTCAGATTCTTTTACATTTATTCATTTTGAAACAACGACGTAACTCAGTACTAAAGACAGCGACGCAAAATAGTTGAGTCCCAGAACGAAGGGATACTATGTGAACAATTTTCAAAAGTAGGACGAGCATTGTGTGGACAAATTTTTGGAACGGATAAAAGGAGTTAAAAATTCGTCAGAAAATGCTTTCATTCACAGAATTCTAGAAGTAGTGACTGAGGAGAGAAGAATGAAACCTGCTATGATCTCGCTCCTTCCACAATAGACGACCTGCGACTAGATCGTCTCTCCACGTGGCCTGCCTTAATCCTATTGATATCGCAATGATATTATTTGAAGGAGAAAGCTCTTCTAATCGAGCATTCTGATCACGCACTGTTAATAAAATGCCTCCCTGTCTAGAAAAATAATTTTCTACTATCTAGCAATATAATTACATTGGCTAAACTTAAAATGTTATTTATAAATAAAATGAAAGAAATACAAGACCGTAGATGTATGACATCTAGTGTAAGACAAAATTTGAATAGGCCAATTGAGATATTATTATGTATTTGAAATCAATTATAAAATAATAAGAAAAATGATTGACAGATAAACTAGATAAGAATGATGTAATTAAAATGACAAGAGGTATATTGAATATATTCATGTTATTCAATGAAATTTTGCTCAAAATGGCGTCATGACGACATATTGGTAAACGTTGGAATATTCTTGCTTGTCGATGACGATTAACTGGTATAATGATGGCGATGACTCTTCCGGTCGCTTATTTTCTTACTCTATGATGTCGAATTCTGTATGCAAGATATCTTGGCTTTATCTATGAGTATATTCTTCATATTTTTGCTTATATTCGACTAATGATATCATTATTTTTTCCTACTGATTCTTAAATAACTTAATCATTATTACTTATTCATGAAAGTTTATGATGAAAATTACTGATAAGGTTTTTTCCTGAGAGCATTTTTACTCAATAACATATACGTCTTTCGAAATGTCCCTAACTAAAAAAAGAAGAAGTACAACTATTTCTTTCTTTTTTTTTTCGCTTATTGTGTCTAGTACTAGTCGTTTGTTCGTTCGTATTGATGACGATGATGATTGAATTGATTATTTGGTATTGTATTGGTGAAGTATGGCGTCGATTGGACCCATGTTAAGAAAGAAGGCGAAAAAGAACAAGGAAGAGGTTCTTTCCACAATCGATCTTCATCAAGTCTTTCGTTTTTTTTCTCGTCCCACTCATTTCTTTCCTTCTCGCGTTCTGTTTGCCACTCCTTCTATCGATACCCCCAGAGAAACAAACAACAACAACAAGAACAGCAGCAGCGAAGTGGAGACAGAAAAAAAAAAGAAAAGAACTGCAAACATTTCGAATTTGTATCAGATTTATAACACAGTTGAAAATCTCATAATTAGACAGATTGTTATCAATTGACCAATTGGAAAAGCAAAAGGAAAACGAGGTACTATAATAGACGTAGAAACGACTTGTCAAGCGCAACAAATAAAACAATAGAAAAAGAGAGAAAAAAAAAACGAGCGACAAAAGACCTTCTTTTACTCTATTCTCTTGCTTTTCATAATAATTTTTTTTTCTCTGTTGCATTTTTCTCGCGCATGTGTGTACATAACTATTCAACGAACGTGTGTGTGTCTGTGTTGTTTTCTTCATTTTCTGTAATGGTGTTAGTGTTTTACGCGCACTCTTTGATGATAGGGATGATGGCATCATACACGTGCCTCTATCCTCTCACATTTAGCACAAATACATCTTCCGTTTTTTTTCCTCTACTCTTCTTTTTTTTTTTCTATTCTACGACATCCATCTATCCTTAGCCGTCATTTTGTAGAACATAATATAGAATGAAAGACTCTGTGGCACCACCACTGCCGCCGCCGCAGTATCCCTTTTATTCGCCGACTTATTCGCATCATCAATATGGATCGCCAACATGGCATCATTCACTCTCATCTCCATCTCATCATTATGATCTACCGGCATCGTCCAGATCACCTTATCGATATACACCTGCAACGCACTATTATTCTCCACATGTAAATGGCAGATCTCCTCAATATCAATCAAATGGGTAAGAAAAGAAAAATAACAATCTAAGCTAAATTAAGCTAAGCTATGTCAAATTTGACTGCAATTATAATATTTTTAAATTGTTGTTGTTAATATTGATGTTGTTTCTATTGGTCGTACTGCTGATGGTATAATCTTCTAGAACATATGGTTACGTAGGCGAATTGACGAGGACAGAAGATTCAGTGATGATTGTAGTTGTGCGCCAATAGAACTTTTACTCTGTTTCTATTCATCTACCATTTGCGTCTAACATGTCAGCAACTTACCCGTAGATTAAATACAAGACGCGTTTGTCTATGTGTCGCGTCGTTATTAGGAAAAGAAATGAGAGCGAACAGTAATGCGATGATTGAGCACGACATAAACGTGTCATATGAGGGTCATAAAATTGAACTTGAACAGGCAGTTTATCAAGACATTCTATATTGTCTATATCTAAATACAAGGTTTCATTATTGCTTTCAATAGTTGTATTATTTTCAATTAATTCATTTTTTTCTTATTTAGTTTTTTTATTATTTATGTTAGATTTGATGAGTTAAGTACAAACAGCACTAAGTATTGACATAAGTCAATATATTTTGACATTTATTAACATAAACCTTGTTTCTAGCTATGATGCTAGTCAATGTTTCTTGAGTCTGTTACACTTGTACAAGTTACGAGACTATACTAGTTTTTTTTTCTTCGACAGCGATTCAATCAGAAAAAATGTGAATTGATCTATTGCTCTTTGGCATGTTCGTTCTTTTTGTTTTATGATTTGACTTTTTATTTTGATCTCAAACAAGATGTAGATACGTGTGTATTTTGATATATGTAGTAAAAAGAAAACCTTTTGATTTTTTTTTCAATTCGTTATGGCACATACACACATAGCTATATGATTGTGGTGTCGATCGTAGTTCAAATTCTAATTGAATCATAAAAAATGTCAGTAAATTGTTAACAACATAAGAAAAAGAAATAAGAAAAATGAAAAATCTTGAACCATTTATCAGAAGAATAAAAAAAATATGGTTCTGACAAGCAAAAATGTAAAAAAAAAGAAAGAGTCCTAAAGCCTCATCAGTCTTATCCATCTGATGAATGATGATATAGTGTCTGTTCTATTTCTCTATCTTTATCTTTCTTTGGATTACGTATACATTCAAGAAAAAGAATACTTACTTGCAGACTGTCAAAATGTCAAATCTGTTCTTTACTTACAGACATATCATCAAGCAAGATGGAACCAGAAGCATGTTTTGTTAGTCGTTTGTGTCTGTGTCTTTTTTCTTTTCTCGGTTCTTACCGTGTTGATGTTGTTTATCATAATGAATATCAATATTACTAAATAATTATCTAGAGATTAAGCATGCTTATCTTTTTCTTTTTTTCATCAATATATTAATTTTGGTAATTCAAATTTAATTTCAATAGAGAATAATGTGACTTAGAATCAAAAAATAAATCAAATAAATAAAATATTTTATTTTTATTTTTATTATTTAGTCAATATGTTGAAGATGATGAAGATGGACAATCAGAAGATGGTGACGGATCAGTTTCACCAAAGCCATTTGACAAGTAAATTTTGTTTTTAATTATTTTTTTATTATAGTGTCCATATAAATGTATTTATATTTTATTAAGAAAAATGTTTATCGGCGGACTTTCATGGCAAACAACTCCGGGTAGGTTTCAATTTTTCTTTTTTCTTTTCAAATATACTTTATAAGAATAAATCACCTTGATACTTTACAAGACTATAGAAATGTAAAGTTCGACGACTTTCATTTACATATATCAATAGAATTTTTTCATGGTAAATTGTACTAAAAAAATATCGATTCGAACATATATATATATATATATATAAATAACTGATGAAAGAAAATCCTTTTTTCTTCGTTTTTTTTGCATGTCAATGGTTCTTCATATACAATCTATAAGTTCGAATAAATTAGATCTATTATTTTTTCAAATCATTTATGCTATATCGATTCGACTGAAATGAAAAAAACCTCCGCTAATATGTTATTTCATAAACTAATAAGAAATAAAAGAATTTTTTAATTGTCAACATGTCAATAGAGAAAAAATATCAGAACATTTCTTAGCAATAGAGTGTATTTGTCGAGTGCAAAAGTATTGTTAAAAAAAAGTGAGACAGAAAGGAAATAAATGTATGCAAGGTCGATGTTTTAGTTTGCATTTAATTTCATGAATAAGAATAATGTGCTGCTATTCTTCAATCATCAATAAAAAAAATAAAAATAAAAAGCATTCATATAAGTACTTATGTTAAGATTCAATATGAAATAAAATTACTTTATCACATTTTCCCTTGATTCCTAGGAGACTTTCTAATACAATGAAAAAATGACATCTGATTAAATACATTTGAGAATATTTTATATGATCAAAAAAAAAAATAAATTTCTTACATATCTTTTTTTTTATTTTTGTTTTTAGAAAATTTAAAAAATTATTTTAGTCAATTTGGTGAAGTATTAGAATGTATGATTATGAAAGATGCTATTACAAAACGTTCGAGGTAAAATTTTTATTTTGGAAAATAATCTTTTTTATTTTTATTTCAACTATTAATTTAAATAAATATTATTTTTCTAGAGGTTTTGGTTTCATCACATTTAAAGATGCTAATTCAGTTGAAAAAGTTCTTGCAAAAGATGTTCATATGCTTGATGAAAAACAAGTATGTATATTCTTCTTTCTTTCTTTTTTTTTTATACATCAGTTTGACAAGGATAATATGATGTTTTTGTAGTCTTAAGTTTTTTTTGAATGAGAGGTTTTCCACTTGTATCATAAGATTCATCTTCATTCATTATTGAAGATTCAATAGATTTTTGTTTTGTTGTTTGAGTTAAATTATCAATTGAACGTCGTAATGATTTCGGTTGATTAAATGTTTGTTTTAAACGTAATTTTTTTATTAATTTACGTGTATAAACAAGTGAACCGATAAAAAAAATCAAAAATAAAGTTAAACTTATTGCTCCAAGTATAATATAAGGTATAATAGGACGTTGAATAGATACTGATTCATTATAATAAGAATTATATGCGAATAAAAATAAAAATATTGTTGTTATAAATGCAAATAATGTAAATAAATAGAACATACAAGCAAAACGCATATAGTCATTACGTATTGAAATATCATAATGAAATAAATAATCGTCTTGATAATGTAATGAAGATTGTTCTGACATAGGATAGAATTCCGTTGTTGTTTTTTCTTTGTATTTTCAACTAAATTAAAAACTAGTTTTTATCTTTTAAATATAGATACAATTACCTTTTTCTTTTCTTTTTTACTTTTGTTCTTTTTTTTTTCGATTTAATTAATGATGAAAAAAAAAAGAAATAGATCGTTAACGTTACTCTCAAAAGTCTTTCATTAAAAGAGAAAAAGAATGAGGCAAAGCTTTTTCTATGTTTTTCTCAATTGACCGCTACAGGAAATATGACTATTTACCCACAATGAATACAGAACTAACTGCTAGATTTTTCTATTTTTATTGCTGTTCCTCCTCAGCTCATCGTATTCATAAAAGGTTTTTTTGGCATATAAATATGCACGCCTAAAGTTCTAGTTGTCACGCCTTTCTATTTAGAAATATTCCATATAGAACTTGAAGAGTGTTCTCATTCTCATATATATATATAAATCTATACTGGAAATATAAAAAAAAAAAGAAAAGAAAATTCTTGACGAGAATAACAACAACAACTTTTACTCGTACACTTAATGCAAATAGCTCCAGCTTTTCTTTGTTTCTTGTATGTCTAATCCTATGGCATGGCATTAGAGAAGACCATAATTGAGATATATTTATCTGAAAAACATACGCGTAAGAAACAAATAGGAAATGCGTGCAGTAGGTTCAATAAGAAGAAAAATGAGTTTAAGATGACTATGAAGACAAAAAAAAAAAAAAAAAAAAACAAAAGAAGAAAGACGAGTAACAGAATAAGGAAGAAGCGCAACAACAGTAATATTAACGACATTTTCCCATTTGATAAAGAAAAATGGCCATGCCGACGGAAGCATGATTTGATGTATGCGTGCATTCATGCTCATTACTTCTTGTTCATCAAGCAGATGTCTGATTGTTTGTAGGGCAATTCATGACTAACGTATCATGCAGTGTAAAAGCTGGATTATCAAAAACGATAACGGGCGTTTTTATGCTTACTACAGATATATTTTCATTGTTTTGATCTTGTAAATAATTTAATTGTTTACGTTTTTTTATACGAAAATATCCAATTGCATAATAAGTAACCCAAATAATAATTATAATTGATAGTAAAAGTATAATTACTGCACTAACTATAACTGGTGTACGATTTTTTTTATTACCCAGCTGATTTGATTGTTCGGATGAAAGTGCAAAGAGAACAATCGAAAGTATAAAAAATGATAATGCTATACAATAGAAACAGTTAATATGTCTTGTGCGTAATTTTACCTTTGTCTCTTTAACCATCTTATTTCAAATAAAATTTTCTAACATAGAAAATGAGTATGAAACAAAAAAAAAAGAGTTAATTTTATGACCTTTTTTTTTTCTTTCGTGAAAATTAAAGAAAAAAAAAGTATTTTATTTTTTATATGTCATCAAGATTCTTTTTTTCTTTGTTCTCTCTTTTAAAATTCAATTGAACACATAACAAATTCTCGCCTATGGTGTTACTCTAAAGAGACTAGACCATACGTCTCTTATTAAACACCAATCGAGAGATTTATATACTTTTTTTTCACGCTTAAGGATATATATGCTTTTCACAGATATGATATCATCAAAAAATAAACAATAATCAATTGATTGATTATCTTTTTTCTTTTTGTTTTGCTCTAATGAATACTTTTTTTTTAATTTGAGAACGTATCATTTTGTTACGCTTGAATGAATTCGAAATATTTGAAAATTATAAATCAGTCATCATTTATTATCAAGATGAATACATAGAAAAAGTTTTAGTTTAATGGCTTCTCAACATAAGATAATTATCTTTGTAACGATGACTATCAATTGATTTAAAACCTCTTAGTGGATGTTTTTATAGTGAAATAATTAATAATAAGCTGGATCAAATATGTTTCTTCTTTTTCATAGAAAGAAAAAAATATATAACAAAAAGTATTAGGAGAATTATCAAAGCAAAAAAAGAAGCAGGACAACTGGTTCATTAAGATATTAAATTCTTTTCTTTTCTTTTTCTTTTTTTAATTATTTTGAAACAATTGAATATTATTGTCTTATTTAATGAAGACTTTTGTCTCTTATTTCATTAGATGAAAAGAGAAAATAACAATCTGACACATAATATTACTGTCATTTAATCTAAATCATTTTGTTTTTTCATTGTAGATCGATCCAAAGCAGGCTTATCCTCGTCAGAAACATCCAAAAGTAAGTGATGATTTTGTTTTAATCTTTTGTGTTTTCTTTTTCTATATGTATAAATATATGTGAACAAATAATGACAGTTTTATATGTATTAGGTGTTAGCCTCATTGTCGGACGACGACGAGGCATAGAGAAATAGAAAAAAAAAGTAATGAGATTGTTATTCATCGGAATCCATCCGATAGACTGCTAAAAAAAACCGACACCAATAGCATATCATTTACGAAAGCGTGCGTGTGCATCCGGACTGGTTTCCCCTGTTGGATGTTGGCAAGATGACTGAAGAATATTCAACTTTGGTTAAGTTAAGAGAGAACGACATAACAAGCAAAACCAGAAAGAAAAAAAGAAAAAGAAGAAAATAAATACAGTCAGTCATCTTCATCATCATCATCATCTTTTCTTGTTGTAATACTTCTAGAGAAAAGATTTTCGACTGTAATTGACATAAAAAAAAAAAAAAGAAAAACGAGAAAAAAAAAGAAACGAGAAACGTTCTGTAGCTGACTGATTCCTTTTGTGACATCATTCACATTCACTTCGTTCTGCTGATGATTATTTTTCATCGATGACAACGAGATAGAACAAACTGATGGCTAACAAAGATGCAGTCAAAGCAAAAGAAGAAGATCTAACTATATATTCTCAAGTGGCGAAGTCCGCTTTGCCTTTTTGATTTTTTTTCCTTCTTCTTTCTTCTTTATGTGTATGTACGCGTGTATTTAAAACTATTTTTTTCATTCTAACAAATCTTCTATCCTTATATTGTCGTCTCATTTTTTTGTCACATCAATTGACACAATGAATAACGGAAATAGTTGCAGCAACACGTTAGTTTTACTTGACAATATCACAACTCAAGATCTTCTAAGTAAAGCAAAGGTATGCTTTGACGATATGATGTTTTAATTATTTTTAGAAACAGACACAAAAAAAAGAAAAAGAAAAAAGGAAAGGTTATACGATGAGATTAGAATAATTTTACATAATACTAGTCGTGCGTACAGTGATTATCCTTATCAGAATGGATACTAAGTCGTTTGCCGATGCTTGATTTCTTTTCCACACCGTCGGTAACCACAACAGCAAATGAATAAAAGACGAGACTAATATGTAATGAGCTGTTGTTAGTATATATATGCAAATGCAAAAGAAAGTAAGGTGGGGAGGGAGGGAAAGAGAGAGAGAGAGAGAGAAAAGGAGACCGATTTAATTGAAGGATTGATTGCACCAGTACAACAACATTCTTTCGCGTTCTATCAATACAATTCTCACTATAAAATATAACTGAGATAGAGTAACAATAGTGTTTAAGACAAATAACATACATAGTTCGTTTTCTATATATGTATACATACTCATTGTTTTTGTTCGAAAGATGAACAATAGGCAACTAAAGAAATTTTAAAAGAAGCAAGTTTTTTTCTTTTTTTTATTCTTCTCTTTTGTCAAATAATTCTTCTTGTTAAAATTAACTTGAAAAAATTTTATCATGATTGATAACCTTTAACCGTCGTCGATGGGCAATGGTCGAGACGGTAGTAGTCGGTCGATGTACAACAAAAAAAAAATTTTTTTTTTTTCAATCCATACAAAGAAAGAAAGAGATGAAAGTGCAATTTACGCTATTGACAACGAACTCATTCTCATAAGCGTTCTTTTGTTTCCCTGACCCTTCAGAGAAGTCCAACCATCCATCATTGTATCGTTCAATTCAGCTCGACGCGAACGCCACTGCTCGTTCTTTCAGTCACTAACATCATCATTGTCCATCTTATGGGTTTCTCCTTTCTCCTTTTCTTTCTCTCTCTTTTTCTCTCTATTGTCGTTGCCGTCGTCGTCTTCTCGGCTCGTTTGACTCTTCGATTCTGAAATTTCATAGGACGATGTGCTGTCGATAGTAAGTATATAGGCAAGAGAGCAATAAGTAGTGCGTATGTGCGAACGAGAGAGAATTTCAAACTTTTTCTCTTCTCCGTTCGAGAAAGCGACATAGAGAATGTGAGAGAGAGAGAGAGAAAAAAGAAGAAGAAAAAAAAATAGAGAAAGAGAAGATAGATTTCGTTCTTCTCTATCCATCCCGCTCACTTGTTCGCACGAATGTACACATACACCGAAGCGCACAGTGCACATGCGATATATATATAGATTCAGTCGTCACAATAATTGATTTATACTATATATTATTGATATCATGGCCACCTATATACTTTTGGATCCTAACGAAATTGTTCAACAACAACAAGCTATGGCAGCAGTTGCAGCAGCTGCTGTTAATAATAATAATAATAATACAAATAATAATACAAATAATAATCATCTTATAACTAATATGATTCCTAATTCGACTATTTCAAATAAAAATTCATTGTCAAATGATGTAAGTTAATATTGAACATAACTTCCGTTTTCGTTTTTTTTTCGTCTTCGTTTTTTTTTTCTTCATCTTCATTTTTTATTATTTACTAACTGATTGAAAATGACTTTTATCTTTACCGTATGTGTGTATGCATACAACCATCATATGTCTATTTGGCTAACCTTCGCCTAGTGACATATACATAGTGATTGAACCTTTCTGTTTTTTTTTCTCTTCCTTTATTTTAATCCAACATCATCCTTATCATTATCAACATTTTGTTTTTCTATCCATTGAACTCTAAATTACTAATAATAGTGAGATGGACGATCATGTCTTTTAGTAGATTCTATGTTACAAAAGGTCAAATACTACAGAGAAAAATTTGAATATAAAATAAGAATGCAAAGAAAAAAAAAAGAACTTCGATCGTATA